ACTGTTACCTGTACTGGGGGGTGTTACCTGTCCAGGCACTGTTACCTGTACTGGGGGGTGTTACCTGTCCAGGCACTGTTACCTGCCCAGGGGACTCACCTGGGAGGCGAGGTCTGTCCAGGCCGCAGGGTGGGGGTCGTGCAGGGTGACAGACTTGACGCCCCCCAGCACCAGGTTCTTGGCCACCTCCACGCCGAGCCCCCGCAGCCCCGACACCAGCACGTTGGAGGTCTGCATGCGCTTCATGGCCTCGTGGCCCAGCACGTACCTGGGACGGGGGACCCCAATCCTCACGGGCACCCCTGAATCCCCACAGTGCCCCCCAAATCCACATGGGGCCCCCTCAATCCTCACGGGGTCCCCCCAGTCTTCACAGGACCCCCTGACCCTCACAGGGCCCCTCGACGCCACAGGAACAGCTGAAGGCACCTGGGATGGTCCCGAGTGTCCAGGGCCCCCCGAAACCCGTAGGGACCCCCCAGCCCATGCAATTCTCCCTCAATCCACGGGGACTAATCCCCAAGTCTATAAGGAACCCCAAACCTACAGGAACCACCTCCCAAGTCCATAAGGACCCCGTTCAAGCCTACGGGAAGCCCCCCCAGTCCATGGGGATGCCAAAACCCCTTGGGAAGGACCCAGGCAGGTGGGAGCCCCCAAACCCCTCCAGGGATCCCCAAGCCCCCTCAAACCCCCATCACTCACAGCTGGCGGGAGTAGAGCCCCTCATCGATCTCGGCCTCGGCCCCGTTCTTCGCCATTCCCTGGGGACAGGAGGGACAGAGGCATCACCGGGGGGACACCCGGGGGACACCGGGGCTGTGTCGCCCCTGGATCAGGAGCAGGACCCCCCAGGGGTGACACCAGGAGCGAGAGGTTGTGTCACCCCTGCTTGGTGACATTGCCCCTGATAAGGGACACACGTCACCCCCAGGACACATAAGGACACCCAGGTGACACCAAGTGACCACAGGTCACGTCCAGGAGACACCGTGTCACCTGGAGCAGCTCTGAGCACCTCAGACGTGACAGTGAGAGCAGAAAAAGTGCCAGTCTCCCCACGGGGTGACAGACAGGGCCCCCCAGAAGGTGCCAGGGCCTCTGTGGGGTTGCCCGGCCCCGTCAGGCGACACTCACGTTGGTGGGG